GCCGGTTGAGCTATAGGCGCCGAGCCAATTTTTCTATTTTCAGTAAAGATGTGGTCTGGCACCTTTTTGCTTAGGCTGGTCTCGAGCTCCTAAGCTCAAGGGATCCTCCCGCCTTGGCCTCCCAGAGTGCTAGGATTATAGGCATGAGCCACTTTGTCTGCTGGGAAAATGTCTCTTCAGGAAGTCTGCATGTTGACCGGGCAGAGAGGTGGTAAGAAGCGTGTGGGGATAGGAAGATGGTTGTTACCACATGGAGGGGATGGTGAGGCTATGTGGACAAGGCAGACTAGGCTGACTCAGGGCTGGAATTTACTAAGAAAGAGGCTGGACAAGGAGGGCTGTGAAGACAGGAGGGGCCTGAAGGATAAGGAGGAAGTGCAGGGTCAGTGATGGGGTCTCAGTGATGGGAGGCAGGGGCTGGCATTCAGGGATGGCAGTGGGGAGACAGATGGTAAGTCATGGGAGGTGGTGGGAAGTCCAGGGTCACTGTGGGGCACTGTGGCTGAGAGGGAGTAGAGTGGAGGTGTTTGTGTATGAGGGGGCTGGCAACTGGGAACCCAGGGAAATGGTGGGTTGTTCCTGGGGAGACCTAAGTCACCCGGATAATGGCAGTTGGAGGACAGGTAGAGGCAGCCATGAGCCAGGTCACCTGGTTTGCAAGTGAGGGACAAATGGCAGCTGGGGAGCTGAGGGGGCATGGCTGGGTGCTGGGCCCCTAAGGAATGGTGCATTTGACAGGGAGGGATCACAGAGTCCTAAGGAAGCCAGTGACCCACACCAGTAAGTGCTCTGTGGCATGAGGGTGACTGGTGGAATAGTCAGCTTTGGGGAGGCCCAGGGCCAGGGGTGAGATAGGTCTCCTTCAAAACTGGTAGGAAGGGAACATTTGGACCAATGTGGAGTGGCCTGTGACCTATTTGGGCATGGAGGTGGCTCAGTTTCACCAAGAGCTGAGCACAGGAGAAGTGCAATGAGGAAGGCAGAGAGCTCCCCAGACCAGGAAGGTGGAGGTCCCAGCCTCAGATCTTGCCCCTATCAACACTGGGGACCATCGGGACTCATAACTTCCTATGGAAAAAGCTGATGAGGATGGGGAGAATGGGGCTGAGGCCATAGCACTGCCTGTGGCCTGAGGCCAACTGAAGCTGGGGTGATCCCAGTCTTGCCCAGTCCTCTCTTCTCTAGAAACCAGAGGCTTGGTTTGCCCATGGGCATATGGGGGCCCAGGGAGGGGTCCACTATCACTGAGGTGGGGCCCTGCCCTCTGTTCTGAACCTTCTAGTCCCTATGGACTCTGGAGCGCCCAGCATGCCTGGTCTGTTGCTGCTCTGAGTCCTCATTGTGCCTGCTTGTTGGAACAAGTTCAGAGCATGGTTTGGTTTCCATTAAATCAGAGTCTTTGATCCAAATAGAGCCTGGGATTTTGTGTCCTGGTTCCATCCCTGCTATTCATGTAATAGGAGACTTTGAATAAGTCCTTGATCATTCTTGGACCTCAGTTTCCTTACGTGTCTACCATGGTGGTGACAGACACCCTCTCTAAAGCCATACGGTTCCTAAGATGGATATCTCTTACTTGGTTCCAATCAAATCTCCAGTCTGAGTAATGATCTGGTGGGTGTGACTGGTCCAGGGCCCCAGACCTCCTTGAATCTTAGGAATGACGTGGTCTCCAGCATTTCCTCAGCCCTGGGGCGAGTCCAATCTTAGAGGGGCTGGATATCTTCTCTACCCCTCGACATTTCCTCCCACACTTCCCCCACTTGAGGGAGTGCTCTTGGCCATAGGCATAAGAAGTGGCCCCTTGTGGTCTCAGCATCATTCTTTTGTCCTCTTTTGCCTTCCTTTCTGAAATGCCACCAGTAGCCAAGCATCCTTGTGCCAGACATGGATCTCTAAAGATAGATCCACGTGTCTTGGACCAGGTGCAATGGATCATGTCTGTAATCCCAGCTATTAGAGAGATTGAAGTGGGAGGATCACTTAAGGCCAGGAGTTCAAGACCAGCCTGAGCATGAGTGAGACCCAGTCTCTACAAAAAAAATAGAAAAAATCAGGTAGGTGTGGTGGCATGTGCCTATAGTCCCAGTTACTGGGGAGGCTGAGGCAGGAGGATTCCTCCGGCCCAGGAGTTTGAGGTTGCAGTGAGCTATGATGACAACACTGTACTCTAGCCCAGGTGACAGAGCAAGAATCTGTTCAGAAAAAAAAAAAAAGATACTGGTACCAAACCCTGGAACTGAAGTCTGGGAAGGAATTATCAGACAGTCACACCTTAGTGTGAAGTAGTTAAATCCATCCTTTGCCAAGGGAAAATCAGACTTTGATAGGCGGGAGGGCAGAGGGTATGTCCGGAGCGTAGGGAGATAGGTGGGAGGTTGGCCCTGGATTAGGGGCTGTGTGTACTGTAGGAATCCTTCCCAAAGTGAAGAGCTATCTGGATGATAATGCCACCTCGCCCTTTCCCTTCCCTGACCCGGGTACTGGGAACAGGTTATTTAGCCTGGTGGGTGATAGGGGACAGTGGGACTGAGTTCTCAGGGTTTCATGACTAAGCTCACAGCATAGAATTTCTACGGGATAGTTCAGGCACCATGGCAACCCGGGGAAATAAACAGAATTTCACAGTCCAAGTTCTGCTCTGATGTCATCTCCAGCTCCAACCTGCCGGGCCCTGCAGCTGGCTGCACACCAGACAGCCTCAAGCTCCTCATGTAGAACTGTCTTCCTTCCCAGCCCCTACGCAGAGCCTGGAACAGGGCAGAGAGGGTAGACAGAGGGGTCTCGGACTGCTTGGATTCTGCCGTAGCTTCTGGCCCCAGCCATGAAACTGCCCAAAGTGGCCAAAAAGTCTGTGTTCTATGGGCAGCACCCAGAGAAGATGGAGCCGTTGCCCTTATGGCAGGAGATCAAGCAGACCCCTGTTGTCATGGCCATGATCCAAGGTGAGAGCAGGCCCACCGGAGGCTTGGACCCACTCCCTCTCACTGCTGAGGGTGTCCCAGCCTTCTGATCTGCCTCCTGTGAAGCCTCTTCAGACTTCCTCAAAGCCTTACCTGCCCCTCTAAGCTTAAGCTCACAGGCAGTATTGGCTGCTGGGATTGTTTAAGGGGGTGGAGGAGGATGGGAACATGGGGCAAGCAGCTAGTGTCAGAAAGGCCAGGAGCCTTTAGCCTACCTTTAGTTTTCTTCACTTCCCTTCACTCTTACTCTCAAGGGAGAACAGACAAGCTAATTCTTACTTTTTTTTTTTTTTTTGTTAGATTTATTTATTTATTTATTTTTTAGAGGCAGAGTCTCACTTTGTCGCCCTTGGTAGAGTGCTGTAGTGTCACAGCTCACAGCAACCTCCGGCTCTTGGGCTTAGGCGATTCTCTTGCCTCAGCTTCCTGAGTAGCTGGGACTACAGGTGCCCACCACAACGCCCGGCTATTTTTTATTGCAGTTTGGCTGGGGATGGGTTTGAACCTGCCACCCTCGGTATATGGGGCCGGTGCCCTACTCACACTCACTGAGCCACAGGCACTGCCTGTTACTATGTTGTTAAGGAATGATTATTGCCTGAAGTGGGAGGTGATGTAGTGCAGTGATTAAGTGCTTGAATTCTGTTGGCTGATTATCAGAATTTTTACATTATTACATTGTGTGACTTTGGATAGATTGATATTTCTTTTTTTTAGAGAGAGACAGAGTCTCACTTTATTGCCCTTGGTAGAGTGCTGTGGTGTCACAGCTCACAGCAACCTTCAGCTCCTGGGCTTAGGTGATTCTCTTGCCTCAGCCTCCCAAGTAGCAGGGACTACAGGCGCCTGCCACAATGCCCAGCTTTTTTTTTTTTTTTTGCAGTTTGGCCAGGGCTGGGTTTGAACCTGCCACCCTCTGTATATGGGGCCGGCGCCCTACTCACTGAGCCACAGGCGCCTCCCTAGATTGATATTTCTAAGTCTCAATATTCTCATCTGTAAGGTGGGAATAACAAAAGTATCTACTTTACAAGGCAGTGAGGAGGCTTAACCAAAATAATTCATATCAGATGCTTAGCATAGTACTTGGGGCAAAGTTCTTAGTTGTAACTGTTACCTTCTTATTATGCACTGTCTGTTCAAGGGAAATTGCATTTTATCTAGGAACACTGGCTTCCTTCAAAGAAAGCAACTCGGTGGGAGGTGGTCTTTGTGCAGTGTGATACCAGTAAGAGTTGGACCCCAATGTGTACTGTATTTGGGGATTTCTGTGCCTCTGACCTAGTGGGCCCAGGCTGAAGACTACCCCGTCCATCCTTTCAGGTCCAGGGCCTGCCAAGTACCTCCGGCCATCTTGCACGGGCTACATAGATCACGACATCTCCATGTTCCAGGAGCCAGCTTACAGCCTACACACCCGGCACTCGGAGAAGCGTGAGCGCACCCCTAGCCCCTTGGAGCAGGTGGGGCAGTGAGAGGCCACAGGCCACTGGGAACTGAGGTCTGAGCTGAGTGGGACATTCAAGTGGCCTCCTGGGTCCAGAGGAAGCCCGCAGGGATGCCCAAATGGCCCCACCCCCTCTGAAGGCAATGCTGTAGGCCTCTCCCAGCCATACTACCCAAGGGAGCTGTGAGGGGATGCTGATCCTGTTCAGATGGTGGATCAGGGCCTCCTTTTTGTCTCCTTATTGGCTGTGGCCCTTTAGATCTGGCTACCAGGGTTCTGCTGGGGTCACCTGCCACAGTAGCTGGGCAGGAGCAGCAGGGGCCAGCAGTGGGGAGGTGGTGGTGGGGGTGGCCCCCAGAGCTTCCCAGATGGCCTAGAACTTCCAGAAGGATGGGAGCAGAGGGTCACAGAAGACCTGGGGCTGCTGACTAAGGGCAGCAAGAGGAGGGGCTAAGCAGGGTATGGTGGTGTGTACCTGGTAGTCTGAGATCTAGAGTGCCTTCCAGGCCTCTGCCTCCGGGGCACACACCCTCCACACAGGGAAGCCTCTGGCTTGGGCTGGGCCCTCTCTGAATACTGACAGTTGCTGTGCTGCTGCTATTTCATCTGTTCTCAGAATAAGTTCTCTAAAATGGCAGGTCATGTGTTTAAAATCCCGTTTTACAGATGAGAAAATCAAAGGTCCCCAAACGCTCCAAAGCCAAAGGAATCTGAGGAGAGCCCTTGTCCTCCTGGGGGGAGGGAGATGCTGTGTGGAGGCCAGATGCTAACTGCTGACCAAGCCCTCTCTTTGGCTGCCTTGCAGGGATCTCAGATATATACAGCCCTGGGCCTTGCTACCTCTTGGATCCTAAAGTAACTAGATTTGGAATGTCCAGCTGCCCACAGGTCCCCAAAGAAGAGCGCATTGGCAACATGCGTAAGATGGGGCTGAAGATGAAAGTGGGGGGCTGGGAGGTTGGGGGATCAGGGTCAAGCAAGGGATCAGGGTCAAGCAAGGGCAGGGGGCATGACTCCCTCCTCCAGGAGTATCTGGGATGCTGGCATCTTCTCACAATGTCACATCAAGACAGTAATGTCATGGTGTCAACACCATCATGTCTTGAAGCCAATGTTATGATATGTATGCATGTCATGGGGTGATGTTTTGATGTCACAGAGCTCATGTTGAGCAATGCAATATTGTCATGCTAATGAGCTCACAGACTGTAGTGATCTCAGGATGTTTCCATGATGCTGTTAGAGGGTCAATGTCCCACTGCTGACAGCCTGAGGGTGAAGTTATGATAACACTTGTGTATCATAACACATTATGATGACAATGTAATCATCCTGATGTCAGGATGGTCTCAGCAACCATCTTGCTATCCCTCTCTCTCATTATAGTAGGAGTTGTGAGGTCCCTGCCTCCTGCTAAGGTCATATTAGGCTAAGCAGAACCCATCAGTTGGCTACCAGGGGATGTGGCTTGGTCCCTTCCCTGAGACCTCTCTTCTTCTGTCCCTCCCTTTGCTCACTTTCAGGCCTGAGCCCCACCCTGGCCCCTTGCCAGTACTGCTTTGAAAACATCGCCCCACCTGCAGAACGCAAGGCTCCCCAGTATACTTTTGGCTATCGATGCCCATATAGAGTGATGGATCCCAATCCAGCTCCCAACCAGTACCAGCTGCCACTCGTGCTGGGGCCCAATACCCCTGTCAACCGAGCCGCTCCCTGCTATAGCCTGGCCGCCATGGATAAGAACTGGTTCTACAAGGGGGATGTGGCAGGAGGCCCTGGACCTGCCATGCATGCCCGACCGGAGCCATCTGTCTACCAGAACCGCAGCCCCATCTACAGCATGGCCAAGCGCTTCGCCTACCCGAGGGACCACACCCTTCGGCCTGGCCCTGGCTCCCATGAGGTCCAGCAGGTCACGGCGCATAAGCCCAGCTCTTCGGCTTTTACCATGGGCATTAAGCACTCACCCTACCTGTGTTCAATGGTCCTTGAGATTAATGATTGAGGCCCTTCCTGGTGCACTAACCACGCCTACCTCCCCTGGAAATTATTTTTCTGTATCAAATTGAGAAGTTTGACCAAGATTTCAAGTAGCAGAGCTGGTGCCTGCTGAGTGTCCAGCACACGGAAGGCATTAGATAAATATTTTCATTTATTCATTCCTTTGTTTTGCAAACACTCACAGCTGTTTCCTGTGGGCCCTGCTCTGGGTGAGGGGCTGGGGATACTGGGAGAAATTGTACAGGTCTCTGTCCTTGAGGAGTTCCATTCTGGTTCACCAGGGGAGGGAACTGTGTGTCCTCTAAGGAGCCTTTTGGGCAGGGACCCTGGAGAGCTGAGTTCCAGTCCTAATTCTGCCACCAACATGCTGTGTGGCCTTGTGAAACTCTTGTCCTGTCTGGGTCTCAGGATTACACTTTAGATAGTGTAGGGGGATAGGTCTAGAAGCAGTCCCAGTTTCCTGAGTTCCTGTTCTCTGGGGCCCAGACTCCAGAGAAGAACAGGGCAAGTGGGGGTGCAGGCAGAAGAGGCAAGGGCTAATGTGGTTCAGATAGAGGAGGGGAAGTTTTCCTGGGGGAGGGACACAAGAGGAGGGTAAAGGTGAGAGCAAAAGCATGCAGGTGGGACCAAGGGCACAGGGAAGGGGAGCTGGGGTGCAAGGGGCAGGGCTGGTACCCTAGACCAGATCCTGGCAGTTCACAGGGGCCTCAGGCTTTGTCCTGAAGGTGTTACGGCTGGAATATTCTTTAGGCAGTGAGAGAAGCTTGGACCGGGTGGGCGCAGGCTTGAGGCTGCCATCAGCCTAGCAGGCTGCTGGGAGGGTTCTGCCTGTACTATCCTGTCTTTGGATAGTCCTTTGTTACTTTCCCAGCCTCAGCAGCTCAGCCTGGCTACGCCTATTAAAGGAAGAGCCATGAGCTGGCCAGCAGAGGGCAGCGTTGGCTCAATTTTCAAGTCCAAGACCATCCCACTTGCTCTGGCTGCCACCCCCTCAGGTTTCTCTGCTTTTGGTCTTTGGGGAGGTTGAGGTCTTTGAGCATGCATTTATCTCTTAGTCTCCAGATCCCCAGTTCACTTCCACCACTGGAACAAGCTCCTCTCCCTGCAAGGAGTTGTGGAGGGAGTTCTACCCCCATCTGGCAGTTTGAGGCCCAGAGCAGGTGCAGCTGAGGCCAGTTGGGAGGCTGGGAGGGAGAGTGTGATCCATGGAGGGGGAGAGGCTTCAAGAGGGAGGGGAGGAGGGGTGAGAAAACCCCCAGACTCAACAGCTCAGGCAGAATCACTTTCCTCTGTAGCCACTGCCCCAAGAGCAGAGGGAGGCAGGCAGAAAGGACACCTTAGAACCAGTATCCAATGGCTCATCCTTGCAGACTTGAGCATTGTCCATGTTTTCATTGAAAATGTAAATGGAGGCTCGGCTCCTGTGGCTCAAGTGGCTAAGGCGCCAGCCACATACACCTAAGGTGGCAGGTTCAAATCCAACCCGGGCCCGCCAAACAACGACGGCTGCAACCAAAAAATAGCCGGGCATTGTGGCGGGCGCCTGTGGTTCCAGCTACTTGGGAGGCTGAGGCAGAAGACTGGCTTGAGCCCAGGAGTTGGAGGTTGCTGTGAGCTGTGATGCCACAGCACTCTACCCAGGGGACAGCTTGAGCCTCTGTCTCAAAAAAAAAAAAAAAAAGAAAAGAAAAAGAAAAAGAAAATGTAAATGGAATCGAAGACCTAACTTTGGACAGAAAGGAGCAGAGAGTATTTTTGGAATATTAAAATCACACACACATGGAGCTACGTATTTAGATAAGAGGCTTGTAGTAAACCCTACGGGGACATACCTATCTTTGGACCCTGAAATTCCCTCCCCCAGTCCACCCGACCCCCAGCCCGGGGTACTGAGTCTGCCTTGTTCTTCCTGCTTCGCAACAAGGCCAGCCTGGGCAGGCTCTCTAGAGGCTGAGAGAGCTTGGGGACCCATCTGTCTTGTAGCAGATTAGAAAGATGTCATTTTGCCGACAATGCCATTTATCATGGTGGCTGCAAAAATTAGTGATGCCTGGGCTGAAAGTGTTGGGTGGGGGTAGGAGCTAGCAGGTGACAGCAGCTGATATGTCTCTGTGCCACGAGGTCAGAGCAACACTGCAGGCCAAACTCTAAACAGGGATATTCTGATTTAGTGCCTAGCCCAGGCCAAGACTCTCCATTAGAAAGAAGAGGAAACTGAGGCCTAGATCCTGGAAATAACTTTGGCCACCTGGCAAGTTAATGGCCTGTGTAAAAATAAAGGTCCAGGCTCAGTATGTTATCAGGGTCAGGGTTCAGTCTGGGGTGAGATGCTTTATTTATTTTGAGACTAAATACTAATTTTTGCCTCTATGGCTCAGACTGGGACAGGTTTTCAGCCTGGCCCTAGTTGCCACCACCTAGCTCTAGGGCAAGAACTAACTTTTAGGGTAGGTTTTGGTCCCAAGGGGAGGAAAGGAAAGGGAGGGAGTGTTCAGAATTTTACCGGGATGAAGATGTTTGGATGAGAGATGGCCCCTCCAGAAGGGGTAGCAAACTCCAGGAAAGAGGAATGGGGCCTCTCTTGTTCTTTGGTCTGCAAAATGACAGAGTCATTTTGGCTTGGGATCAACGTTTCCATGAAGCAGCCCCATCTCTTGGCCTTGCTTCCCTGCTGGTGGTACTTCCAGGTAGGTGACCTGTGGAAGTTCAGACAGGCTTGGCTTCCCATGGCTGAGTGCTGATTTAGCCCCTTGTAAAGAGCCCAGAGGGCCCAAGCTTGACCTTGCAGGAAGCCCTGGTTTGATCCCTTTAGGACTTGAACCTTGCCTTCAGGTAATTAGGCCCCGGAGCCTGGCACTTGATCACACAGACACAATCATCCGTTCATTTATTCATCATTCAATAGACACTTGCTGAGTTCCTTCTCTGCGCTGGGCTCTGGCTAGGCCTAAGGGTGTGAGAGACTGTTTTCCCCTGGAGCCCTGGCCTCTGGGGGTTTGGAGGTGGCGTGCAGGTGGGTGAGAATTAGCTCTTTCCAACCTCAAGCAGCCATTGGAGAGTGATGAGGCTCGGTGCCTTGGCAGGTGCCAATCCAAGTTTCCTCCCTTCTTTCTAGGGGACAGGGAGAGGCCTGGCCTCCACGTGGGGTCACCCAAGCCAGGACTTAGTGGTAAAATTGAAGTCACATGACTCTCCTGGACACTGGCTGGGATGGTAGGGACTGGCCGCTGTCCTTCTATTGATGGTGGAGAGAACCTGAAGGCCAGCCATGACTCTGGTTACCAGGAGCTGGAAAGATGGTGGCCCTGGGGCCAGGAGGATAAAAAGGCCCCCAGGCATAAGGGCAGGGGTTGTGTGCAAACACATATCCCTTGCCCACATATACAAGGAGCTAAGATGCACAAATGCACAGACACAGTACCTTACTGTACACGCACACACCCGCTAACAGGCGCACTCAACACATGGCTTATACTACACTCTCAGAAACAACACAGGCGTGACACACACATGCAGCACACATGGACACAGACACAACACACCTTGTACCCCTCCCCCAGTCACCTCATCTCACACACCCACCTCCACCCAGGCCCACTCACACACTCACTGCAGGAGAAGTCAAGTATATAAATCATGTGGATGCCACACGCATACACACACACACACACTCACCATAAGAATGCTACACACACATACTATGAGAATGTCACACACACACACCCCCCAATGATAATGCCACATGTACACAGCATGAGAACACTACACACACACCCCCCCATGAGAATGCTACACACAATGAGAAAACCACACATACACCAGGAGAACACCACACAAACACACCATGACAACACTACACACACACCAGGAGAATCCCACACACATACATACATCAGGAGAATGCCCCCCCCCAAGAACACCACACATACACACCATGAGAACACCACATGCACACGCAGGCACACTGCCACCAAAGTGAGCAGGGAACAATGGAGGGTGTGATGGGAAGGGAGGCTGGAAGGGTCTCTGCTCACCCAGAAGCTGGGCTCCCATGGGTCCTGCCTCTGGGTGGGGTGCACTTGGCTGTGAGGGGCATCCACGTGTTCTGTCCTCACCCATGAAGACAAGCAGAATCCCCTAAGTCTGTCAAAACACTCAGAGGTGCCCTCCTGGGAAGCCACTCAAGAACCAGGGGCTAGAATAGGAGCTCCTCACTGCTTAATGCAGGGATGGGGTGGGTGAGCGGCTGGAGGGCACGTTCCCCCCATGTTCTGGCGGGAGTCGGAAGCCCCACCTCCTGGCTCTGGGCTGGGAGTCACCTGCCCCTCTTCCCTTTCTCTCCCTCTTTGTGCCCACCTTCTCCTACGGGGCTCTTCTCTCCCTGAGGTCTTTCTCCTACCTCTGGATTTCCTCTCTCTCTCTTTCCTGTGTCCCTGTGCCCTGCTTATCTTCTAGAATAAAGAGCGACATTTTCAATTGACACCCCCCCCCCATAACAGCACCATTCCTGGAGGCCCTGGCCAGAGCAGCGTTGTGTGTGTGTGTGTGGGCGCTTACTTGTGTGGGGGCCTGTTGGGAGGGCACCCTCTGTCCCACTGTCCTTTGTGTGATTTTTCTCTTCTGGAGCCTTCATTTCTTCCTGAGAGATTGGAAGCACATTTCCCTTCAGGGGAGGAAGGGAGACAAAAGGAAGAAATAAAAAACTGTCATCATTGTCTTGTAAACATAGTGTGTAGTGCCAAGTGGGGGCTCAGCAGGAGACAGGGATGGAGGGAGAGGCAGGGGCAGAGAAAGGGGGGGCTGGAAAGTGGGGGTAGGTATAAGAGAGCAAGTGGTGGGGGAGAAAAGGTGCTGTTACCTCAAGTGGGTGGGCGTGGGCACAGGAAGGGCTGCCAAGAGGAAGAGAAAAATGCAAGTGTTGATCCAGGATTGTGGAAGGGATCTGGGGAGAGAGATCCTATGCTGGGTGCCAGGCCGGGCCCAGGAAGGAGAGGACCTCCAAGC